TAATGGTCAGGAGCAGCGGCAGGGTTTGAGCGGAGCCTGTTGAAGACATAAGTGTGATATTAATAATAATGACTACAGTTTTAACGACGCGCGTGACTATATTTCAAAATAAGAGCCGTCCCCAGTGCGCGGTTAGCATTAGCATTAGCCTCACCTCTGCGTCACCTCCATAACTCAACACGACGTCAATACCCTCCCCTTTAAACGAACGTGTAACCTGCACCGACTCACCCACTGTACACTTCCACTTATGACTCTGAAGACTGGACCAGTGACCGGACAGGACAAAATGGAGCAAAAGGGCTAGAATTATTGAAATATTCCATGTTTGTGTCATATTTGTTTCATAATGTCCACAGGAAGAGCTGAACTTCATCACACTCGGCTGCAAACCGCCCCAGTGCAGGTTTCAGGTCCTGGTTTGATGAAGCCAACAGGACAACATCGTCTGTGGATGGGACCTGCGGGATGAAGATCAGCTCCAAATCCGAGGCCGTGGTTCTTGGAAAAATGTGGCTTGTCCTCTGCGGGTGGGTCGAGAGTCCCTGTCTCAAGTATCTCGGGGTCTTGTTCACGAGTGAGGGGAGGATGGAGCGTGAGATTGACAGGTGGATCAGTGGAGCGTTGGCAGTGATGTGGTCGCTGTATTGAACTGTGGTGAAGAGGGAGCTGAGCTGAAAGGCAAAGTTCTCGATTTACTGCAATCTACGTTCCTCCCCTCACCTATGGTCATGAGCTCTGGGTAATGAAAGAAAATTGTGGATACAAGCGGCCAAAATGAGTTTCCTCCTCAGGGTGGCTGAGTGCTCCCTTAGAGCTCGGAGTAGAGCCACTGCTCCTCCATATCGAGAGAAGCAGCTGAGGCGGCTCGGGCATCTGTTCCGAACGCCTCCTGGACGTCTCCCTGAGGAGGTGTTCTGGCATGTCTCACCGGAAAAAAAGCTTTGAGGAAGACCCAGGACGCTCTGAAGGAACTATGGCTCTGGGCTGGCCTAGGAACCTTCTGGAGGAGCTGAAGGAAGCGTTCGAGGTGAAGAAAATTTGGGGGTCACTGCTTAGACTGCTGCCCCCGTGACCCAGCCCTGGATAAGCAGAAGAAAATGGATGTATGGATGTCAAGAGGAGAAAGTATAGCCCAAATAGTCAACTAAAGTAAGAGTACTGTTACTAAAAAAAATAACAGAGAGTTGCAGCAGATAGTTGCAGCAACATTTACATGACAACATTTGCACGTCTCAGTGTCCTTTGTGTCTCAGTCAAAGGTCTCAGGTCAGTTTAACAGGAGGACTGGTCAGAGAGGGTCAGCAGATCCTGTGGAAGAGCCAAAAGTGTCCCTCCTCTGTGTTCTGGAACCAGGTGAACACAACAGAAAATACCTCAGTCTTACTGCGCTCTGGCGTTTTGGTTGGCGACTAAGTGGTTCATTCCCTCAAAGTGTTTCCTCTGGAAGGTCTTCTGCCACATTTTACTGCCACATGTGGTGAACAAAGCCTGTAGCATCCATGGATCTATTATAAAAACTAGATAAGTGCTTCCCCTTTGTTTTCTGACTCAAGACTGACTAGTGGCTGCTCCAGGTACGTAAGAATTGAGCGCAAAGCATTTTTGGGGAATTCAAACTGCTCGTGTTCGACAAGTCTCACAAAGATCAGATTTTGTAGGATTCTTTTCTATTTTCACAACATAAACTTTTTAAAATGTTTAAATCCTCAAAGCTCCTAAAAGTGATCTTTGCTCTAGCAGCTCTCACTCTGATTTGTCCAAACGCTCCACGCCGTGCACGTTACAGACATCACACTGGTGGGAGGAGCTCACCCGGACTTAGGAAGTAAATGCAGAAGAGAAATTTATTTTTGAACTCTTGAGCCAATGAGCACAGACCAATGAAAACAATACAACGCCATCTTGGGTTCAGCTTCAGATTTTTATAATAGTTCAGTGGTTGCATCTCAAATGTCCACAGATCCTTAGCTAACCTTCCTTAAGACACGACAGAGCATGGTCCAAGTGGGAATTGAACCTCTGACCTGGGTTGGGAGACTGTTGTAAATGCCTGAAGTGAGTATAATTGGAAGAAGAGTCATTGTGGTGCTTTGAATCCAGACTCAGGACACATTTGGACATCTATCTCCAATTATAGCTCTGTCTTTTTGTGTGCAGGTGTTAAATGGCACTCATGTTGACCTCACTGTCTCTCTGTGACATGTCTCGTCCCCTGTCCCTCCGCTGACCTTTTCACAACACACACAAAACACACACACACGTAATGTCAGGCTGTCTGAGAAGAACACATGTACGCCCCCCACGACACGCACAAACACTCACCTCCCCCTACTGAGTGCTCTTCTACGGAGGCCTGCAGGGGACAGCAGAGGTGGGGTCCCGCAGGAGAGTGTGGGGCCCGTGCACCAGCTGACAGGGGCCCATCACTGCACACTTACTCATAATGGTGGGAATTAGGATGAGTGAAGTGAAAGCATTTGAGTTACAAGATCACAGATGAAAGAAACAAAATGGAACTGTAATATAAAAGCCTAAAGTTACACACATTTCCAGGAGGGACGTCTGAATAAAGGCCAGTGTTGGGGAGTAACAGATTACATGTACTGGAGTTACATAATCAGAGTACAAATTATGAGTAACTGTATTCAGTTTCAGTTACTGTTTCAGTGAGTAGTAATTGGATTACAGTTACTTTGTTGAAATAAATGGATTACACTGAGGTATTTTCCTGTTTTCACATTTTGGGCTATATCCCTTTTTCTTTTTTTTTTTCGATAATTCCACTCATTGCCGGATACTAAACCAGGACTAAACCAGGACTAAACTAGGACTAAAACCAGGTCTAAACCACAATTAAAACCAGGTCTAAATCAGGTCCAAACCAGGTCTAAACCAGGACTAAACCAGGTCTAAAACAGGATTTAACAGGACTAAATCATGCCATGCGGACCGTGTTTCCTCCTCTTTCTTTCAATGATATTTTTAATACAGTTAAGTAAAGTCTGGGCTTTTTATTTTCTTTTAGCAGATAAAACATCTTTTCTTACGATATTCTCGACTCTGCTTCTCTGCAGCAAATCAAGTAATCCAAAATATTCAGATTACGTTTCTCACTTTAAATATTTTAATGGATTCCGTTACAAACTACATTTTGAAGTATGTAATCTGTAATCTGTAGGGGAATACATTTTAAAAGTCACCTTCCCAACACTGATAACGGCATAAAGCAAAGTTTCAAATTCTTCATTTTTAATTTTTAGTTAACCAAGAACCAAGAATTGTAAAACCAGTTTCTCACACATATCTGCCAAGCTGAGTCAGATAAAAGAAAAAAAAATCTTAAAGAGTAATTTGGACAATGACTTTTTAGGTAATCACCCAGAATGTTTATTTTTTTTTTTTTTTTTTTTTTGACATTTTATAATAAGTACGAGTATACCTTAAAATAATTATGTTTGGGTGATGTTATTACATGTGTAAAAGAACAAGAGGGGCATGACGAAATGGAATGAACTGTAAATGTTAAAATGATACATGTGCCCCTCCTGGGCTCTGAATCTCACTTTTGCAGGTCAGATTCAAATATGTAATGACAAGGAAATTAATTACACATATTAAAACCAGCTTGTTCTTACAATTCTTTAAAAAAAATGTCACACTACTCTGTGTTAACCTGTGAAAACAACATAAACAAAAGTACTTTACATTACTGGCAAATAACAACATATGACATGAGAGACTTTCCACTGTATCCATGTGGGACAAAACAAACAAGAAATGTCCTATATATATTTTTTGTAAGTAATAATGTGTGATCAGATATAAGAGGAGGTAATGTACTGCGCTTAGGAAATTATGTGTCATAGATGATCACCATCTTGCCCTTCACACTGTGCTGACAAATTGCTGCACACTGCATCAAGTTTGTGATGTTGTGGTGTATTCTTTTGTATCCTGCTGTGATGAGCTTCCTGGTTATGTAGGATTGTGGAACGAACCTTGTACAAGAGGCACGGACTCGTATGGTGCTCAGGGGAGATTGTAAGAGAATCATGCATGGATCATATATAAAACTAACCTGATTCATCAGCCTGTTTCATGTTGTAGAATCCGTCTGACCTCGCAGCGTTAGAATTCATTTGCTTGACAGTAGGCGGGTACTTTTTTTATTTACCCAATCACTGCTATTTGGTCGTGACGTATGTAATGCGCCACTAATGGGGCTAACCAGTATATTAAACTTTTCCCAAATCCTGCAAGAAGAAGGGCAATAACGTCTTTCCCCTTGATAAAATTCACCAAACATTCTCATTGTTCCGGCTTTAAATCCTCGATCTCGGGAACCGTTGGCAACACTGATGCTGATTGGCTGGTGCTTGGATTCGCACTTCCAGGGTTTTTGTGAACCGTCTAGTGTATTCTGATTCCTGACCAAGTCGCTGGAGAGAAATGAAATCGAGCAGAGGCACTAGGTGGTACCAGCCTGACAAATGTCGAAACATTTGTTAAAAAAAAAAAAGTGTAGGACTACCTTTGAAACCTTTTCTATATGGAGCACAGAGCACAAAAATGGGACTTTAAAACAAATGTATCTGTCAATATAACATAAAGAGTTAATGAAGTTAATTGTCAAATATATTTGCTAGAACACTCCTGATATCTTTTAAGATTATGGAACACTGCACCCACCAAAAGAAAACCTCATAGATTACAGACAAAAGTAATGCTCGACCTTTTCTTAATATGTGCTATTCCCACACAAGCAAAAAGAAACATTATATGACCTGGTGTAAAAGATTCGTTTTTGCAATCTCCAGACAATCGCCAGATATTACACAAAATGATCTCAGAAGAACTCAGCCTAAATGTGCAGGGTTTGTGTGTTAAACATGTGTGAATGAAACAAAACAAGAATCTAAATCATCTAGTGGATGTCACGTTTTGTAGGCCTAATAGTTTTGTGAAATAATCCACCAAAATCTGTAAATATTGTCAGTTTTATTTATTTTTTTGCAACAATTCCATAATGTAACTTAAACTTGGCAAAACTGTAATTACTGAACATATTATATTTTACAACACGTTAAAAAATGTGTATCTAGTCATTATCATACGTATTTGGTGCGTGACTGCTGCCCTCTGGTGGACATCCCACGAAGGACACGCATTCAGTTAAGTACTAGCAGAGAGGATTTGGGGTAGAACATAATAATAAAAATAATAACAATAATGCCTCAAATAGTATGTAATGATTTATGAAGATTACACACATTCATGCGAAAACCTTCACAGAACCCACGTGTTTTTAAAAGTTACGTTTTTAAGTTTAAATCGACTCATTCTCTCGACATACTTTTCAACTATAAACATACAACTTACCCTTCCATTACAGCTTCACTGAATACATTTTACACAGCTCTACACTACTGCAAAGATGCTGAAAATGTAAATAGAACTGAATCAGAACTAAATGTCTGTAAGATTTGACGTGCAGCCTGTACTTTAGACTACTACAAACTGTTTCAGTTTTCTCTCAAAGCTTTTAAGTTTAAAGGAACTGTATGTAAGATTTTGATTTTGAAAATGAGGTAAACATGTCCAAATCAAATATAACTCTTACTGATAGCAACTATAATCTTGATTTATTCTTAATTACATGTTCTATTTCTTTATGTTATAATTTGTGTTTTGGTTCAAGTCTCTCATTTGGGTTGCCAGGTTCAGTGCTGAAATCCAGTGTGTTTAGACCTCAAATGCTTCTCTCTGATCTGAATGGTCTCTACCTAAACCCCAGCACCTGCACACAGTCATGAGTCAGTGCTAGTGCAGCCTCTGCAGCTCAGGGAGGGGATTCTGGAGGTTCTGAGCTTCACATGAGGCCTGAACATAAACTTAGAATGAGACAAAGTTGTGTGTGTTCTCTGTCTGCAGGTGAAGACTCTGGTTATACAGGTTCAGTGGTGATTGTAGTAACTTTTCTAAAACAGAATGGTTTGCAGAACAAAACCATTCTGCACTGGAGCACTGCAACACTTTATTTTATAATTGTGTTTTTATAGGTGTTTATTGTACATAATGTGGATGAATGAAATGTGAAATGTGGGACCAGCCTCTCAAATCTGCAAAACAAATTTACCTACAGGCAGTGTCGGGAAGGTGACTTTTAAAATGTAATCCCCTACAGATTACAGATTACATACCTCAAAATGTAGTTTGTAATGTAATCCATTAAATTACTTAAAGTGAGTAACGTAATCTGAATACTTTGGATTACTTGATATTGTCATGCTTTTTAAAACTGCATGAATGTAGCGACCACATCCTGAAAATTCTTGTTTGTTCTTCAAATTGGCTGAGCCCAAGTCTCCATGAACAGACTTGTTTGCTGTAAAGTTGCAAAGACTAGAATCTTCACATAAGATGTTTTGTCTGCTAAAAGAAAATAAAAAGCCCAGACTTTACTTTACCGTATAAAAAAATATTATTGATAGAGAAATGATTTCTATATGAGCTCACTGCTGCCTTAAAGTATGTCTACCTACTGTTAGTGTCATATTGTTTAGTCCTGGTTTAGACCTGGTTTAGTCCTGGTTTAGTCCTGGTTTAGTCCTGGTTTAGCCCAAAATGTGAAAATAGGAAAATACCGCCATGTAATCCATTTATTTCAACAAAGTAACTGTAATCCAATTACCTCTCATTGAAACAGTAACTGTACAGTTACTCATAATTTGTACTCTGATTACGTAACGCTGGTACATGTAATCTGTTACTCCCCAACACTGACTACGAGTACGAATAAAGCAACCTAACCTAAAACAGTAAGAGCACAAACTACATACAGTTCCTTTCAACTGTGCGACCCTCGTCTTCATCTCTCCCTCTTGTCCCTGTTGTACAAGTGTTTGTTTTAGTGTTAACTCCGGGCTTTATAAATCAGGATCTACTGGATGTTCTCGGCGAGGGCGGAGTCTCGCACCCCCGCGGACAGCACAGAGAAGAGCAGAGGGGGCAGCAGAGAGCGCAGGTACAGGGCCAGACGGGGCAGGGGGTGCGAGAGGAGCACCTCCTTCTTCTTCCTGTTCACCGTCTGGAGCACCTCTCGGGCGAGCACAGAAGGACGCACACCATGGCTCAGGTGACTGGAGATGTCTGCACACACGAGAGAATGTTACACAATATTAATGCTTTGTATTTTTTAATCACAATCTGACAATAAATTACTGACCTAGTTATACACAGTGTTGGGAAGGTTACTTTTAAAATGTATTCCCCTACAGATTACAGATTACATACCTCAAAATGGAGTTTGTAACAGAATCCATTAAGTTAGTTTAGGTGAGTAACGTAATCTGAATACTTTGGATTACTTGATTTGCTGTAGAGAAGCAAAGACGAGGAAATCATAACATAAGATGTTTTATCTGCTAAAAGAAAATAAAAAGCCCAGACTTTACTTTTTACCAAATTAAAAATATTATTGATAGAAGAAGAGACACGTCCACACAGCATCGTTTAGTCCTGTTAAATCCTATTTGAGACATAGTTTAGAACTGGTTCTAGTCCTGGTTTAGATCTGGTTTTAGACCTGGTTTAGACCTGGTTTAGACCTGGATTTAGACCTGGTTTAGACCTGGTTTGGACCTGGATTTAGACCTGGTTTAGACCTGGTTTTAGACCTGGTTTCTACCTGGATTTAGACCTGACCTGGCTTTTAGACCTGGTTTTAGACCTGGTTTTAGACCTGGTTTAGACCTGGTTTAGACCTGGTTTTAGACCTGGTTTAGACCTGGTTTTAGGCCTGATTAAGTGTCCGGCAATGAGTGGAATTACTGAAACTAAATAAATAAATAAAAGGGATATAGCCCAAAATGTGAAAACAGGAAAATACCGCTGTGTAATCCATTTATTCCAACCAAGTAACTGTAATCTAATTACCACTCATTGAAACAGTAACTGTAACTGAATACAGTTACTCATAATTTGTACTCTGATTACATAACGCCGGTACATGTAATCCGTTACTCCCCAACACTGGTTATAGATTTACACTACCGGTCAAAAGTTTTAGAACACGATAATTTTTCCAGTTATTTATTGCAATTCAAGTCGTGCAAGAGCTTTAAATGGTACAAAGGTAAGAACTGAACAAACAGAGGTTAAAAAAAATAGAAAAGAACAAAACACAAGTCCAAGCTCTGCCGAAACTACCTCAGGAAAAAAGAACAAGATGGTAAAGCTTGAAAACCTGGACCTCATTTGGTCAATCATCATTCTCCTATAGAGCCATAAACTATAGAGCCAGAAACTTGTGGAACAGCCTCCCACATAAAATTATATCATGTACTAATTATGAAATGTTTGCACGCCTGAACAAACAACGGCTTTTACCCAAACAAACCTGTACACATGAATCTGTCCTGTATGAATGCTGCAATATGAACTGTAAATATGTAAATAAGTAATGTATGGATGTGGTGACTGAGACTGTAAGGGACTAGTCTTACTTTTTGCTTGACTGGATGAATGATTGCATTACTGTACATTCTATTGTATTGGCATGTTCGTCATTTATGACATCAACCTGTCCAGGGACTCAAGGTGGAAATTCGCAATTTTGCTATAACCTTGTACAAGCATATGGCCTCTCTGTGTAGCTCAATGTTTTCATGTGCATTGTCCTTGATGAATAAACAAATAAACTAAACTAAACCTACAAGTGCCACACATTTTTAGAACTTCTGCAACAGACTTGGGAAGAACTTTCTGAACAATATTTGATTTCTATTATAAAAAGAACGAGCCACGGGTGTGTTCAGCTGTTCTATCTGCCAAAAATGGACACTTTCATCAATCAAAAGTTTAGAATATGATTTGGGCAACAGTAAACAGTAAAAAAGGAAAAAGTGTGGTGTTCTAAAACTTTTGACAGGTGAGAGGTTACACAAGTCTCTCAAATGATTTTATCTAGCATTAGTTTTTCAGTGAGTCACTCTCAAATCAAACTCCTAAACACGACCATGAACACTCAGACTGATCACAGACTCCTGAAAATGTGAACTTTAAATCCTTTTTGAATTTTTTTGTTCTTGAGTTTTCAGACAATCTAAACATTTTGGCAGTATTTGCTAATGTGTGCATTGTGTCACCACGGTAACTGGTGAACATTCTGTCATACACATACATGAAGAACTCCCATCCAATACAGGTTGAACTCATGATCTAGAATGTGATGTCCTAATCTCAGGTGGAGGACAGGGGCCTGCAGAACTCTACTGGAGATTCACTGCTTTTGATGCTGAACATTATTAAGCAAAATGTTAGAAAGAATGTGGAAATAATTCACTAAAAGTCTTTTTGTCCCCTACAGCGGGTTTTATTACGTGTGTTATCATGTGAACCTGAGTGAAACGATGCTGCTCTGGTCAAATACACCCAGCAGTTGTCGTAGTTGGTGTAAAAGGCAATCGGCAAGTAACCCGCTTAAAGCACCAGAGCCACCCTGCAGTTAGTTACACCCAGAGCTGATCCCGTCACTGCAGACGTCTGAGAGTAGAGAGTGGTTCCTCCTTAAGGTAAAGCAGACCTGGAAGTGATTTAAAGTGTGTTACAGCCATTTTTGTCCCACATTGGTTCAAGGTGTTTGTGGTGGAGCCTTAGGGGTGGAGCCTAGTGGCTCATAGCCAGGTGGCCTATGTGGCCTGATTATTCTTTGTGTGGAAGCTGTAGGGGGTTGAGGTCATACAGTTTTTTGATCGTGTGATCCGGATATATTGTGTCATCTTAAGTTGTGGAAGCTGCATCTTCAATTAAACCTCATAAGCAATATTCTGTACGTTTGGACATTGAATCTTTCGGTTTTCATCTTAGACACATGAGTCAAGCTAAAGCCACACAGCTCTCACAGCTATAGTGGCAAACTGGAGTTAAACTGCCACTACAACGTGTGACGTGTCTGAAGTTTAGTCTACGTTTACATGATGACTGTCTGAACAGAAGATGCAAAAGTGGCGTCGCGTCTTTACTTTTTATTCCATTTTTGAGTTTATAAGCCCCAAAAAATGCTGTCACTGTCTAAATGAAAGGCACTTATGATCAAATTATTTTCTCAAGAAAGAACAAAAATGTGGCTGTTTGCTGCAGGTGTTCCAATCAGTGGGAGCAGGTAGAGCAGGGGTGTCCAAACTTTTTTTTATCAAGGGCCACATATCTAAACACAGACGAAGCATAGGGCCGATTGAGGGCAGTAGACTGATGCTCAATACAGAGAATAATTGAAATATGTGCATGTTTATCACGTTAGAATGAACCATCAGTCTTTATTCATGTAGTTTCAAGATCCTTAAAACTACACACTAAATATGAAATATTAGCTTTATCAAGGTAGATTTTCAAAAAAAACTTGCAGTAAAAAATATGTTTTTAATTGACGCAAGGTAATTTGGGCCAATTCACCTGGAAGTCTGAGGGCCAAGAAAAACTTGTCTGAGGGCCACATTTGGCCCCCGGACCATAGTTTGGACATGCCTGAGGTAGAGGGTGCTCTTGGAAAAAGGATCAAAACTAAAACTGAACGGACTCCAGGCACTGCAAAGAAGAAGAAAAAGTAAAAAATCATAAATGTAGTTAAAAGGCCTTTATTTGAATGGCCAAAGCCAACATGTTTCGACCTTAACTGGTCTTCATCAGGGCTTAACAACTCAACTAAGCCCTGATGAAGACTACATTAACATTAACTACATTTTTCCTTGTGCAATTTTTTTATTTTTTCTACTTCTTTGGAGTGCCTGAAGTCTGTTGTGTTTTAAAATGATTTTGTTGGTTTTACTCACAAGTGTTCTCGTGTAAACAGGCCCTTATTTCTCATGTCCCCTCTTGAAGGTGTATTTGGAGTGATTCATACATGTTTATTCTCCTGTATTCAACGTCATTGCTCAGATCTGCCCGTCCTTTCAGAGAGAACATCCCAGACTGATGTGTAGAACTCTATTATTATGACACATATTATATTACACACATGAGTCTGGAGAGAGTCAGGTGACGTGTCAACATGAGCTTCACTCACATCATCAAAAGTTGACCTGGAAATGTCCACAATACCACACTGCTCTTCAGAAGTTCTAAACAGCAGTAGTGTGGGATTATGCGCCGTGTGGTCAGTCTGGAAGTACTTGCAGTACTTGTACTCAGGCCCACAGGCAGCTGTGTAATAATATTTGCAGTAGTGATACTCACAGTCCCAGAGGCGGTTGGTCTGGGGGGCGGGCTCAGGGGCGGGGGCGGGGGCAGGGGGGTCAGAGGCGTTGATGAAGGTGTGGGTGATGGTGCTCACAGAGATGCCGTACTCCTCCACCTCGGCCCGCAGACAGTCAAAGAAGGCCTGAGCCGCGTGTTTAGAGGCAGCGTCTGCACAGATCAAATACACACACTCACATGGTTGTGTTAACATTATTATGAGAACAAACAGCACAGTACAGCTCTTATTCATGTTTGTGACACATGAACATGAACTCTTTCACTTTCATTCACACTGTGTAAGGCTACATTCAGACTGCAGGGCTTAAGGCTCAATTCAGATTTTTTTGTGAAATCTGATGTTTTTTCGAGGTCGTTCACATTTCCAATTAAATGTGACTTGTATGTGACTCCAGTGTGAACATTAAACAGCCCAAAAGTGTCTCACATGTGACACTGGAGACACGACGACGTCAACCGCAGCGAGCGTCTCTGTGTTTACAGAAGTTGTCCAAACATGGACGCAGCATTGAACACCTGGAGATTTTAAAGTTCCTCTCGTACCGGAGCCAGAACATGAACAACTTACTTGTTTTAAGGAGGAGATTGAGAAGGAGAAGGACGAGGTTTTTGACCGTGGTGTTTTGTGGGACAGTGGCAGCAACGTCCATTGAAAGGAACGTGTGGATGTGGAGACGGAGCCAAGAGTGGTGAGTGGTGATGTGCTTCGCTTCAGTGACACGGAGTTCATTAACAATTTTCACCTACTTCAGCGCAGAACAGTGATGTTTGTGGCTTGTTGATAACGTGTAGGTGGATGAATGCACTTTGGCTGTTCAGACTGAATGTCAAAAGATCAGATATGTATCAGTTTCAGGAGCACAGATCCAAGTGTCCTGGATCACATTTGAAAAAATCGGATCTGTGTGGTTCAGACTGACATTAAAAGATCAGATACAGGAACATAGAGGCCAAAAAATCGGATTTTGGGTCACTTCAGGCTGCAGTCTGAACAAAGTCTAATAGATCAGCGTTCCTCTACTGGTACCTGCTTTATCAAACACACTTTCTGAATGACAAAGCCAAGTTTAAGATACACTAAGACTAAGTCACTTTTCTGCTGGAAGCTCCGCCACCACCTGCTTGTGTCCATGGAGATGTTATTACTTTGCCTGGAATGTTGCACAGTATAACATTAAAATATTTATTTCCATGGAGAGAAGCAGGTCAGGTCAAGTTTCACGTCAGTGAAGAAGCAAACTGTGATCATATAGGCACAGATGTGGAGCTGGTCTTTGACTGTGGTGCATGTTTTGTGTTGATGGGGGAAACCTGAACACAGAAACATACCAACAGCACAGAAAGCACAGGCGAGCCAGGGATCAAACACAGAACCTTCCTGCTGTGAGATGAGAGCGCTAGCTGCTCTTCCACTGTATGGCTCGTTATGTTCCATGTCATGTGATGTCTTCTGTATGTACACAACTGTGCTTATTCACATCCTTCCAAATACAGACACACACAAAATGACACAACTAAATATATGTGTGAAAACTAAAGCTCCACCTGCTCGTGTGAATGACAGGAATGACACTCTACCACATGACTGTTTGTTTTGGCTCTAAACCATTAGTGTCAGATGTTTCAGACGTGGCCCGGGGCCCAAGCACAGCCCACAAAACCTTTGTACTTGTTTCTTTTACAAGCCACACATAAGCCATGTGTAGAGACAAATGCACTAATACAGATGCAGATACAGAGGGGTTCAGTAATTGAAAGCATTCACAATACTCACAGGAGCTTCTAAAAGGGACTGCCAGTTTGCTGTGGATACTGTTGACCAGCACGATCTGCCCACCCCTCCTGGACATCATGGAGGGGAGCACACCTGGGGGACAGGAACACTTTTATGACATACATGTTCTGCCTGTGTATCTTTATAGCCCAGGCTTCTCTAACCTGTAGCTCAGGAGCTACCAGGAGCTCTTGATCTCTTTTCAAGTAGCTCATCAAGAGATTTCTGAATTACACATATTGTCCTGAATAACTCACATTTGATTAAGTAAATGCCTATTGCCCATTGTTATTGCAAAACGATCATTGTGATGTCTGATCTTGTGCACTCATGAATAAATATGTTTTATCTAACTATATCCCATCTTAGTCTTCCATTTGCTTTTATGTACAATTTATTTCTTGTGACCATTTAAACTAGTAGCTTTCTCGCATTTTCATTTTGTGGAGGAAATAGGTTGGAGACCCCATTCACACGCACATACAGTCTGACCTGGAATTTAACTGCATTTTTAGCAAATACGGTCAGATACATGCTTGCATTTCTAACCAAGCTCTGGCATCACTCACATGCAGAGGAGGAGTTATTATTTAAACCAACTTGATTTGTCCCATTTCTACGTATGTATATGTCTATATGTGGCAAGGCAGCTGATCATGTGTCATGTGTCACATGACAGAGACCATAAAGGTCAGAGGTGCAGCAGCTCACTTCCTCTTCCTGAGCAGGACTAACACATGGTTCTTTCTGGGAAATAGTCCAGAAATAACCATGACCAAACAGTCCAGAGGAGGCTCAGTGCTGTTTGCTGTTTTTATGAGTTTTTAGTTTGAATTATACTACTGCCTATATACAGTAGTTCTGCAGTGAGTGTAGGCTGTAGATCACAGAGTGTGGAGGGGCTCACTGTAGAGGGTGCCCTTATTTATAGTTACTGGTGGTGGTGGCACTTGTAATTGGGTGTTTTCAGTTTTCTTTGCATTAATCTTGTTTGTTTTTCACTTGTAGCATGTCTCCTCCAGATCAGCTTTAGTGTGGAGCCTCACCTCTGCAGTGGCATCCTCACCTTTCCTTTACCAATCAACCTTAACGTTTGTTTAACCTGTAATAAAAGCTGCTGTATGGCTGTTTGACCCACACACTGACTGACTTTGTTATTAAAGCTTCCTGTAGATCCTCTAGGTGTTACATATATATGCACATTTTCACTTTGAAACGGCATTATGTTCAGTCGTCTCCACTTCTGAAATCTAGAAAGAAATAATTGATCATTTGCAGTGTCAAATGTTCAATCAGTTATCATGGTGACACAATTCAAGAAAAATACTAAATGGATTTAAGCGTACATGACTTACTAAAGCTTACTAAAACTGTAAGAATAACTGAGCGAGACTTTCACTTTAACAGCACAAATCAGCTCAGTTTCCATTCCAACTCAATCACTTGTTTCTGGTCAGACTGTGTTCAAACAGAGATCAGAGAAAGTCTAATTTGGGGAAGACAAACAGACAGACAGAGCAGTGCCTTCCGTTAGCTTTTACAAACTGTCAAAGGGTCTGTATTCTCTGCAGTGTTGTCGCACCTTTGGCCAGCGTGCAGGGCCCAAAGTAGTTGATGTCCATGATGTTGCGGTCCACGTCCAGGGAGATGCTCTGGACAGGACCTTTGACCTTGATGCTGCTGTTACAGATGAGCACGTCCACATAACCATAACAGTCCACCACCTCCGTCACCACCTCCTCCAGGCTGTCCGGGTCACTGAAGTCCACCAGCACCAGCTTAGGGGCAAACGTCTGAGGAGCAGAGGAGCAGAGCAGCAGAGGAGCATCTCACTTCAGACTGAGCTCACTTCTCTCCAGCAGTGTCCCACCAACACATGACAAAAAGAAAGACGCCTCCTGGACCTGCTGCCAAACGTCTGATACTAAAACCTTTGTCCAGAGTTCAGTTTTCATTTGCTTTGGGTCACACCTGGACGACTGGGGAATTATACATATATTCAGAATAAGTTACTCTGCTAAAATCAAAAGAATACATGGTGCACTATTTAGGCTTCAACCACAAACAGCATGGTGTAAAATGTTAAAGTACACAATACAGTACTCACACCATGTATCTGGATACAACTAGTATTTTGGTAAACATTTCTCATTAAATGTAGAGCTTTCATCGGTGGACATCTGGACTATGCAACAAGAACGTTTTGGGCTTCCAAACACTGAACCACTGAAGGAGTACACTGTAAATACACACTAAGTACCTCATGTACACACATACATGTACTGTATACTTTAATACATTTATCTTATAAAATTTTAGTACTTGAGTACAGTGTAACAGTACTTTTACTTGAGTAATATATAGTACAGTGTAACAGTACTGTTATTGGAGTAAATACTGTGCTTCCCCTTCCACTGTTGATAGTACTGTTAGTAGTATAGTACTGTTTATAGTACTGTTGGTAGTACTGTTGGTAGTGTTGGTAGTACTGTTAGTAGTATTGTTAGTAGTATTGTTGGTAGTATTGTTAGTACTACTGTTGGTAGTACTGTTAGTAGTAATGTTGGTAGTACTGTTAGTAGTATTGTTAGTAGTACTGTTAGCAGTATTGTTAGTAGTACTGTTAGTAGTACTGTTAGTAGTAACTGTAGTAGTATTGTTGGTAGTACTGTTTGTAGTACTGTAGTAGTAGTAGTAGTAGTATTGTTAGTAGTACTGTTCGTAGTACTGTAGTAGTACTGTTGGTAGTACTGTAGTAGTACTGTAGTATTGTTAGTAGTACTGTTAGTAGTACTGTAGTAGTAATGTTAGTAGTACTGTCTGTAGTACTGTTAGTAGTATTGTTAGTAGTACTGTTAGTAGTACTGTAGTAGTATTGTTAGTTGTAGTAGTACTGTTAGTAGTACTGTAGTAGTATTGGTAGTAGTACTGTTAGTAGTACTGTTAGTAGTAGTACTGTTAGTAGTAGTAGTTAGTAGTACTGTGTAGTAGTACTGTGTAGTGTAGTACTGTAGTAGTAGTTAGTAGTACTGTAGTAGTAGTACTGTTAGTAGTAGTACTGTAGTAGTAGTAGTAGTAGTAGTACTGTAGTAGTAGTAGTACTGTTAGTAGTAGTACTGTAGTAGTAGTAGTAGTTAGTAGTAGTACTGTAGTAGTAGTAGTACTGTTGGTAGTACTGTAGTAGTAGTAGTTAGTAGTACTGTAGTAGTACTGTTAGTGTAGTAGTACTGTAGTAGTATAGTTAGTAGTAGTGTAGTAGTACTGTTGGTAGTACTGTAGTAGTATAGTTAGTAGTACTGTAGTAGTACTGTTGGTAGTACTGTAGTAGTCTAGTTAGTAGTACTGTAGTAGTACTGTTGGTAGTACTGTAGTAGTACTAGTAGTACTGTTAGTAGTACTGTAGTAGTACTGTTGTAGTAGTACTGTAGTAGTCTAGTTAGTAGTACTGTAGTAGTACTGTTGGTAGTACTGTAGTAGTATAGTTAGTAGTACTGTAGTAGTACTGTTGGTAGTACTGTAGTAGTATAGTTAGTAGTACTGTAGTAGTACTGTTGGTAGTACTGTAGTAGTATAGTTAGTAGTACTGTTAGTAGTACTGTTGGTAGTACTGTAGTAGTAGTAGTACTGTAGTACTGTAGTAGTACTGTTAGTAGTACTGTAGTAGTACTGTAGTACTGTAGTAGTACTGTAGTAGTATAGTTAGTAGTACTTGTTAGTAGTACTGTTAGTAGTACTGTAGTAGTACTGTTGGTAGTACTGTAGTAGTACTGTTGGTAGTACTGTAGTAGTCTAGTTAGTAGTAGTAGTATGTGGTAGTGTGTGTCACCTCTCGAGGGTCGGCGTCTGTACACAGGGTGTCGTACAGAGACTCCAGTTTGTCCCAACTGGTCCCACACAGGATGAGACGAGCCCCGCCCACGTGGAAGAGACGGGACAACTCTGCACACACACACACACACACACACACACACACACACACACACACACACACCCAACACACACATACAGATACTGTTAGAACATTTGAGTAGTACTCTCCATGATATTGTCATGTTTCTGGGGTCACATGCAGCAGAACCTCGAGGCATGGCTCAGTAGAACTTCCAGATTGCTCACAGAAAGATGAAGGGCCCTCTGCTGTTTGACTGTTTTTTTTTTTTTTTTTTTTTTTGTTTTTTTTTTTTTTTTTTTTTTTTTTTTTTGGAAACTAAACTCTTTTGGGTTCATCATTATTATTTAGACCAGGGATCCCCAACGTCCAACCTTTCTGAATCACACGTACTGTGCTGAATAAGTCAAATTTGATGAATTAAATGCCTTTACCATTGCACATGTATTATTTTCATGCCTAAGTTTATACACTGATAAATGGATAATAGTTTATGTTTTATAGGCGTCTAACTTATGGTGACCAGATTTTCAATATAAAAAAAAACTGGGACACCCCTGGTTTGTGGTGGTTGGTAATAATACAATTGTGAAATGAATGAATAATTAAGGAAAACTTTTCTGCACTCAGCCCTTTCAACTCACATTTTCTTTGTGTTTTGGTCGTTTTTTAAGCAGCTTTTCTTTATTTTACCTACACAAATGACAATTTATGCCTCTGTTTATTGTTGGCAGGGATCAAATTGGTTAAAAATAGGGACACCTGGGATATTTCTTGTAGAAAACTGTGACAAATCAGTGGTTTTGGATAAATCTGCTGGGACAGGGGACACAGGGCTCAAAACTGGGACTGTCCTGGGTAAACAGGGACGTCTGGTCACTCTATTCTAACTGTACTTTATCTAAGGCCATGACTCTTTAATATACTAAATTTCTTGTGACAGCTAGAACTAGTAGCTCTCCGGTATTTTTGTTTTGTAAAGATAACTCACTGAAGGAAAAAGGCTGGAGATCACTGATTTAGACTGTGTTTACCCTTAAAGATGCACTGTTCAACTTTTCTGGAGAGAGTCCTCAACCTGTTTGGCTCCATGGAGATGTTAATGCTTTGGGTTAAATTGTCCAGAGTATGGCATAAAACAACTTGTATGCATTTATTCAGCTACAGGTGTTTTATTTATTGCTCAAAAATATCTTAAAAAAAACATTTATTGTTACTGTTGGTGGGGTCGCAAAGCTCCACAAGCCTCCATGGAGATTTTTACATTTATGGAGCTACTATGGAACATTTTAGGCACATCTCCATGGAGACAAGTAGCTGATGGACCCTCCAACAGACAAGTTACAGAGTGCACCTTTAATTGAAGAGTGATTTGGCCCTGGTGGTACTCGAAAGGTCAAATGGTAACGGGAATATAAGGTTTGGAAGTCAAGATAGATGGAAAATAGATGGATTTATTGATGGAAAAGAGTGAAGAAAAAGAGAAAGAAATAGAAAGAAAAATGAAGAGAGAGCAAAAGAGAGAGCAAATGAGAAGAGTTTACCCGTCCCCACTCCGGACACGGCGTCGGTCAGGACCACCACTTTGTTGCGCACTTGAGCGTTGGACATGAACAGCAGGAACTCATTGTACACGTAGTACACACCCGCCGCTACTACTATGAGTACGGGCAGGAGTACTACGAACGGAAGCATGGTCTGAGGACGAGAGGAGAGGGGGAGAGGGAGGGAGGGGAGAGAGAGGAAGAGAGAGGATAGAAAAAAATGAAAAAAGGGAGAGAGCGTAGAGAATGTCAACAAAGAACAGATAATGGGTGAAGAGAAAGAGAGCATGAAGGAAGTATGGAGGAAAGAAAAGATAGGTGGGGAGGTGAGAGTGGAAAGAGAGTGGAAGAGAGAGAAAGAAAGAGGAGAGGTGGGATACAGAAAGAATGGAGGAAAGAAAAGAGAGGCAGGGGGAGTGAAGGGCGAGGCAGGAGAGTTGGAAGTGGGAAGAAAGAGAGTGGAAGAGAGCAAGAGAGGAGAGGTGAGATGAAGAGAGGAGAGAGAGAAAGAGAGGAAAAGAGAGAGTGAGAGAAAGAGTGAGAGAGAAAGAGGAGATGTGAGATGAGGAGAGGAGAAAGAGAGAGAGAGGGGTCAGGGAGAGGTGGCATGTAGAGAGAGAGAAAGGAGAGAGGAGGAGAGGTAGAGAGACGTAGAGATAGAGAGTGAAAGGGGAGAGGTGAGATGAGGAGAAGTATAGAAAGAGAGAGAGAGAGAAGAGAGAGTGAGAAAGAGAGAGAGAGAGAGAGAGAAGAGAGAGAGAGAGAGAGAGAGAGAAAGGGAAGAGGTGTGAAGAGGAGAGAGAAAGAAAGAGCGAGAGAGAGAAAGAGAGAGAGAGGTAGAGAGAGGGGAGAGGTAGAGAGAGAGACGTAGAGACAGAGAGTGAAAGGGGAGAGGTGAGATGAGGAGAAGTATAGAAAGAGAGAGAGAGGAGAGAGACAGACAGACAGACAGAGAGAGGGGAGATGAGAAAACGTAGAGAGAGAAAGACAGAGAGACAGAGACAGAAAAAGAAAGGGGAAAGGTGAAATGGAGAGAGAAAGAAAGAGCAAGAGAGATAGAGAGTGAACGGGGAGAGGTGAGATGAGGAGAAGTATAGAAAGAGAGCGAGAGGAGAGGTGAGAAAAGGTAGAGAGAGAAAGAGAGAGGGAGGAGAGAGAGAGAGAGAAAGAGGAGAGGTGAAATGAGGAGAGAGAAAGAGAGGGGGGGGGGGTGAGATGAGGAAGCGGTAGAGAGAGAGAGAGAGAGAGAGGGGAGGTGGAGAAAGGGGAGATGAGGAGAGGAGGAGAAGAGAGAGAGGGAGCAGAGTTAGTGTCCAGGGTGAGTCACTGAGAGTGTAGAGACCCGGTCGGGGTGAGGATCATGTGGGTGCTGAGGTGAGCTCCCACTCTGTCACTGTCATGTGCACCCACACACTTCCAGAAACACTCCTCTGCATTATTCACATTTGAACCCACACTTGTCACACCTCAGGCCTGTTTTTCACTGTTTACATCAATAAATGAGTAAGTAAACAGATAAATAAGTCACATACAACATATAGAAGTTAGGTGTCCCAGTTTAGTAAAAGTGAAATTGTATCCTCAGAACATTATTTATTTGTGGCATAAAGTGACGTTGAGTACTCTGAATACTTTGAGGAGATACTTTTCCCCTGACAGGCCAGTCCAAAAACACTGTGTGGGTGTGTCTGCAGCGTGTGGAACGGCACCACACACCTAACTTTTCCACTGGAAGGTTCACCACCTGCTTGTTTTTTCCTAGAATCTTCCACCGTATGACATTAACTGTGTGCATCTCATTTGCGGGGTTAGTTCACTTCTACCATCCCCGTTTTTCCAGAATCACATTAAAATGAACAAATATATAAATAACACTGAGCAAGAACTGAGTAGATGTCGACTTCGGCCCTATTCGCACGGGATAAATTCAACCTGGGGACGTCAACTCTGTGTTACTTTAATGCATTTGTACGGGGTAAGCAAAGTCTGTAAATTGCTCTATTTGAAAGTATGACGGAGTATAAGGCTTAGATTTAAAAAAAAAAAAAAAAAGATGCTGGCGCTACGAGAATAAAGTCGTAATATTTCGACATTAAAGTTGTAATATTACGAGAATAAAGTCGAAAGAAAAGTAATTTTACAAGAATAAAGTCATTTACAAGAATAAAGTCGTAATTTTACGAGAATAAAGTCATAATTTTATGAGAATAAAGTCGTAGTCAAAATAAAGTCGTAATATCACGAGAATATCGGCTGCTCGGAGAGTCTGAATGAGTAGGCTGGTGCTCTGGACAAGTTGGAGCATTTTGTAAAGGAGAAGAATCCGTGTATCATTCGTTCATTCGACTGAAACAGGACTGAATCAGGACTAAACCAGGTCCGGAACCAAACCAGAACTAAGACCAGGATTGAGACGGGACCAGATCTGGACTGAAAACGGTTTAGTCCTGATTTAAATCACGGAAATGGGAAACGGCGTTTCCGTGACTTAAAATACGATGCGGGAATATTGCGCCACATACAGACTGAACCAGGACTAAATCAGGACTGAATCAGGACAAAACCAAGACTAAACCGTTTTCAGTCCTGGTCTGGTCCCGGTATCATCTGGTCTAGTCCTTGGTCTGGTCCCGGTTTCAGTCCTGGTCTCAGTTCTTGTCTGATCCCAGTCTCAGTCTTGGTCCCTGACCTGCATTTAGTCCTGGTTAAGTCCTGGATCAGTCCTGGCGCAAATGAAGAAAATAGTTGTTTTTTCATTTTCTTGTTTTTAGTTTTATATTGAAAAATGAATGAATGAATGATACACGGATTGAAAAGCATATTCTTCTGCGGCATTTTTCACTTTGACTTTGAGTTTATTACAACTTTATTCTCGTAATATTATAACTTTATTCTCATAATATTACGTCTTTATTTTGACTTCGACTTTATTCTTGTAAAATTATGACTTTATTCTTGTAATATTACGACTTTAATGTCGAAATGTTACAACTTTATTCTCGTAGCGCCAGCATCTTTTTTTTTTTTTATCTGAGCCTTATACTCCGTCGTATGAAAGAGAAAAGAATGTGGAAAGAAAAGAAAGAGATAGAAAAAGCACAATTATAACAACAAGCACTGAGATGCAGATTCACACGGAACTCAGTTATCAGCGGACGTCTGTGTTTGGTCATTTACGGCAGAATTTTTACTTTACAAATTACATTCACACGGGATTAAGATCTCAGGCATCCTCTGCAATTATTACAAATCAGCAAAGGTCCACAGGTCACACTAATCCTGTGCAAATAGGGCTATAGATAACTAGATAAGATAGTTAAAGATGTTAAACAAATGAGGTAAAACGTCACCAAAAAACATGTCAGTCTTTTTGTCTTGATGCTATTCTCAGATCCTAAACATAAAAATAAGACCAATAACAGAAATATTACATAAAAACAGATTGGTAGTCTTTAGTTTTTCATTTAAATTGGCAGTTTATTTCATATATTCTGTTCAAATAAAAGTTAGGATTAGCTTTGAGACACAAATATCTGTCAACATTCAGTGAAGTTTCCAAGCCTCGGTAAAGTTTTTAACTCGTTGTCCGTGACGACCAAATGCTCCTTGCTGTCCACTGTGTGATCTTTACTTAAGTGTGCATTGTTTTTAGCAGAGGTGGGACCAAGTTTGTTTTGCAAGTCTCAAGTAAGTCTCAAGTCTTTGACCTCAAGTCCGAGTCAAGTCACAAATCAAAGACGGGCAAGTCGAGTCTCGATTCACTGGCCCATAAGACCAAGTCAAGTCCAAGTCAAGTCCAAGTCGTCTACTTTGAGCTTCAAATCATTTCAAATCTTTAAACCAAAGTATCAAATATAGCTTAGATTTTTGCAATTTATATGAATTCTTAACTAAATTTTACTTAAAAGCCACGGTATATTTATATATGAGTATTTATATAAGCAATATATATGCAAATTCTTCCTTTTTAAAAGTCTTGACAAGATCTTAGTGTGACTCATTATAGTCTGAATAGACAGAATTCAGATTTAAAAGTGCTCAATAACAGTGTCTTTGTCTGCAGTGAAATAGAAGGATCATGTTCTCTGTAGTTCCCTCTGTTTCACTGTATTGAACTGTATATTACTGTAGTACATTTGAGGATACTACATCACAGTACTTCCGTTACATCTTAAGTAACAAACACAGAAGTGGGTGAGACATGTTCCAGTTTGTTCCTGTAAAATTAAGAGCTGCATGTATCAACTGTAAAGAGAAAAGTATTTCCTAAAAACACATATATTTTTAGGAGAAGCATCAATCTTCTCAGGTCACAGGTCTCAAGTTCAAGTCAAGTCCCAACTCACTGAGCTTCAAGTTCAAGTTGAGTCCCAAGTCTTCTGACCTTTCACCTGACCACATGTCACAGCCTGCTTGTCTCCATGAAGATAAACACATTTCAGGCAAAGCAATAACAAACTGATGGTGAAGACGAACCCTCCAAAAGAGAGAAAAAAAGAAAAAAAACTAATAGTGAGTAGTAAGTTTAAACATTTTGACTCAGATTAAAGTATGTTTGGTTTTGAGCTCTGCCTTTGAGCTCATTGTGACCCCATGTAAGGAATGGCTTTATAGAGAACAGCTAAATATACTCCCTGCTCTTAAGAATACTGTTACAAGACACCGCCAGGGTCAAGCGGAACACTTCACTTTGGCCTGAACTCAAAAACACGTCAAATAAAAGCATTATTATTTGACTCATTATTTGTGTCAGTCGTGTGCAAGCGTGACGTGCGGCCCCGCTCTGGCCCCGCTCTGGCCCCGCTCTGGCCCTGCTCTGTGCTGAGTGAAAGCAGTGTGCTGGGGTTGTCTCTGGGGACTTACGGGCGCGTGCAGAGGAGATAATCCTCCCGGAGCGCTGCGGTACAATCCCCCGGCTCTGCTTAGGTAACAGGCCCACTGTCCATTCACCGAGTCCCAGCCTGTGTGTTCACTGTCCAGCCGCTCTGACCCACTGACGAGGAGGAGGAGGAGGAGGAGGAGGAAGAGGAGGGGGTAACCTGCGACCAGAATAGACAGAGCAGAGTCAGCAGCGAGAGCGCGTGGAGGGTAGTGTCGCTGCTACCGGGCTGCCAGGGGGTAGAGGGAGAGCAGGGTGGTGGTGTCGTCTGAACAGGAAGCATGTGCAGTTCAAATTGGAAAACAAAAACACATTCTTGGAAGACAATGTTGACTCTTTTTAAAGGCCATGTATGCCTGATGTTTGTGTTTGACTAAAATGTGTCTTCAGATATACAGGGTGTCCCCCCAAAAATTTACATAATTTCACAAGCCAGTAATTTTGGAAATTCTTGTTGAAATAACTTCAAATGTTCACAGAATGTATAGAAACAGATCAAGATTTTATATTGAATGTTTTTTTAATAACTTTGTTTTTATTGGTTTTAAGTAACATTTCAAAACATACAAAAAACATATAAATCAAAAACAATGTAACAACAGTCTGGAGTGACAGGTTCTTATTTAAACATGTATTTGATATTGACATTTTTATGTACTATGTTGTTTTACTGGTGTCATTTATGAAAACATTCCACTTTTCCCATTGCTCATTGTATTTGTACCTTTCAGTTTAAGATTATATGTTATTCTTTCACTGAAATATTCTCCACAATCCTGATCCGGTCTTGTTGTGCGGGTGAATCTGGTTTTAACCAATTCTGTGTAATTCCCTTTTCAGTTGCAGCTAAAGCAGTTTTTGTCAAATACATGTCCTCCTTCCTTACTACATCAGATATATTTCCCAGCTACATCACCAGACATGTGTTCAGAATCCCATATCCCAGAATAGTCGTTAAGGTTGTGTTTAATTGTTCCCATTACATACCCTAATTTTCAGGCAACTCCAAAACACGTGTGAGATCAGCGTCCATTTCTCCACACAACCTCCAGCGCTCTTGCAGGGTGGACGTCTGTCTACTTTTGAATGTTTTATTTTTGCTCTGTCATTTTGTGTCTTGGAATCTGCACACACACTCACCCAAGACTGTGCAGCTTCAGTGCAACATTTGGAAAAACTTCACCAACTGGTAAACACATTTGGACTTGGTACCAAAAATATAAAGAGAAAGGCTGATTATGCAGGGCTAAAGGATTACACATGTGTGCGAGCAGATTCCAAGATGCAAAATGACTTCTCTTTGGGAGTGAACAGCTCCACCTAAAAACAGAACAAAAATTTAAAAAATTAACAAGTGCAAATCAGAGGCAACAACCTGGTCCCCATGAGGCGTCGATGGTTCAGTTCATCACCACAGAAGCAGTTTATGAAGAGCCCAGCCCATATTACATGATCATTATATCCACAATATAGTGTGTGTATGTGTACAGGCCCATGAACATGTGTGTGATGTTGGTCACACATGACAATGTCTGTGTTTACTAGTGTGGAACCAAAATGTCACTTTTCATGAGTTGTGTGTGTGTTATTTGTGTGACTGTAGATCAGTGTGTTGTGTATCACCAGTAAAACAAGAAATGGAAATTATTTTTGTTCCAATTAGAATTTTAACAGCTACACTGAAAGAGAAAGGAACTGTTCTAATTAGTGATTATCTCGAAAACTATAAATATTTGACTATACAAATGCATAGAATTATAAACAGATCAATAGATTTTTCTGAGATTTTGAGACACTCCCATTGCTCGAGCTCCATCCTTCACGGAGTTATAACCAAAAATGCATATTTGACCTTGGTTACCTTGACCTTCAAGTGACCTTGACCCCGGTTATGTGTGTGCTAACTTGTGTGATGATTGGGTGAATATTTTAGCCTGCAGATGTTTCAGAAATTGCAGAAATTGCTGATCCTTTATAATGGCGTGACCTTTCAATTGACCCGTGTGACCTCAAATGACCTTGGATCGTCACCAAACTTTTTTTTTTTTGGTGGCATCAGGCATAGGGGCTTGACCCATGTACCAAATTTGGTGATAATCAGTCCATAAATGGCTGAATTATTGCGGGTGGACAGACACACACACAGACACACAGCCAGGGTGAATACATAACCTGGTCAAAACTTCAGGGACCAGGTAAATATAAAATCTTGATCTGTTTCTAAACATTCTGTGAATATTTGAGGTTATTTCTACAAGAACTGACAAAATTATTGGCCTGCCAAATGATGTCAATTTTTTGGGACACCCTGTACTGTATGATCCGCTCCTGAGGTCAAAATAAGTCCACTGTGAACTGTCTGCATCTGTTTATTGCATTTTATTGTCAGAAAATCCAGAAGTGTGTTAGCATGCTGGTTGTTGTTAGCTTTAGTGTCTCTCTGCTCCTCTATTTATCTTGTGTGACAGTTCAGAAGATGGCTTGGAGCGAGCAGCCGAACAATGTAAACAAGGTAAATACATGTACTATTGCATTGTCTTAATCTAACCAAAAATGTCTCGAATCATTGTCAACTTCTGATGCTTTGAAGGTGCACTATGTAACTTTTATGTTGGGGGTCGGTTACCTTCTTGTTTCTATGGAAATGTCACTGCTCTGCTTGGAATGTTCCACAGTATGACATCGCACAGCTCTACCTTACATTGTGGAGAAGCTTAGCCAGGCTGGTGCCACCTTGTGTCTCCGCTCAATATTCATTTCTCTCCAGAGACTAGGTCAGGAATCAGAATACACTAGACGGTTTGCAAGAACCCCGGAAGTTGTAGACCATGCACCGGCCAATCAGCAAAGAGCTGTGAACGCATGACGTCAAACTGGTCACGTCTGTCTGGGTCCCTGTCTGGCACAACAGTAAACAAAGCATCAAGATGGATGTAGACGAAGACAGACATTCTGTGTTGGCAATGATTCCTGAGATGTTATTGCCCTTCTTCCTAGGGGATTTGGCGCATCACATTACGAACAAATCCTACCACTATGAGGTCAGACGGTTTCTACGAAGTGAAACCGGCTGATGAATCAGGCTAGGGGAAGCTAGCCTGATGAGATCGAAGTAGGAGGCAGACTTCAAAAAATGTTTCTTTGACCAGACACAAATTTATTAAAGTAGACTTCTGGAGTTAACGCAAAATAACTTATCACAAATAAACTGTTCAAACTAAAACCCACTGAAGTAAATGTGATCAGCGATAAAATGAAGACTGCAGACGTATGTGATGTTTGGAATCATCTGGAATTTGTCACTTCATCTCTTCTAATCACATGTACCAGTGCACTCAGAGTTGTGCGTCAGTGGGGAAATAATGAAACTGAGGTGTGGTTGGAATTGTTGATGAGCCGAACGTAACGGAACACTACAATGACATGGAGATGAAGAAAACTGGGACATTTTCTCATTTTTCTTAGATTTTGTAAGACTTACTACCGTGAATAAAGCCCGCCGGAAGTTGTCATCGCATCTTTCCAAACGTCTTCCAGGTTTGTGACATCAGCGTGAACTCAACCTATTGACAAAACCCACTTGCTTATATTCCCCCCCAACAGAAAGTATCATTTCCTTTACATGTAACTTTCTTAAGTCTAAAGCTAAAGCCCTTCAAAAACAATGAAACAAAACAGAACTTACCAACTTGTCACATACATTTATTCAATTAAAGGTGGTTTTAAAGCACATAAATACCTAGAAAAACAATCAAATGAAGAATGACATCATATGTGTAGATTATAGGTCTACCTGCCGCACCAACTCGACAGACAGGTTTGTTTCAAGGGTAATTAGCACGCAGCCACTCACATCATTGTAATAGTCATACCGTAGTAATAAATCATGAATATTTAATTGTTTTTTAATCTCTTTACAGTGCTGGATATGTAATTAGTGTTAATAGACCGTTAAAGTGTCAAAGCCTTAAATGTTTCTCTCTTCTGTGTGTTTTTACAATCAACAAGCTCTACGAAACAAAACATAAAAGGTAGCGGTTCACTTGAAAATGGCCGCTTCATGACATCACAAGGTGGAACAGAGCATTTTGAGCTTTGCAGATGTAGACAGACTAATAATAAAGGGTTACTCAACGTGTGAATGAAACAAAACACAAATCTGGGTATGTCTTTGAGGAGGAAAACATGGGTAAAGCTCAGAGGAATCCATATTGTGTAATATAGGACCTTTAAAACTAATGCCATTAACACCAAGTCAATTAATGAATAAATATGATTTGCTCAACTAATTATTCACCAATATTTGTTTAAATTTTTTAATAGTCTTATTGAAGGAAATGTATGTAATCTCCACTGTGTCTCCAGAGTCTTCACCTGCAGACAGACACACATCCAAGTTTGTCTCATTCTCAGTTTATGAACAGGCCTCATGTGAAAACTCAGAACCTCCAGAATTCCCTCTCTGAGCTGCAGAGGCTGCACTAGCACTGACTCATGACTGGTGCAGGTGCTGGGGTTTAGGGAGTGACTGTTCAGATCAAAGAGGAACATTTTAGGTTAAAATCAGGCATGCTTAAACTATGGTCAAATGAGGTCCTCAGACCAGTTTTTCTTGGCCCCTAGACAGGTAATTTGGCTCATATTACAGTATGCAGTACTTTTTACTGCATGTTTTTAAACATCTAACATTGTGGTCATACCAGCTTGTCCTGTCAGATCTCAGAAGCTCAGCAGGGCCAGGTCTGGTTAGCTGGTTAGTACTTGGATGGGAGACCACTGGGAAAATCAGGTGACACAGTGGGGCACCAGTCTCAAAAACTGTTGCTGTGTCTTTAGGCAAGGCACTTCACCCACATTGAAAGTGGTGTGTGTGCGTGAAAGATGGTGGTGGTCGGAGTGGTCGATGGTGCAGATTGGCAGCCTCGCTTCTGACAGTCTGCTCCAGGGCAGCTGTGGCTACAATAGTAGTTTACCACCATTAAGTGTGGAGTGACTGAATAATGCCCTGTAAGGTGTCTTTGTGACATTTGTCTGTGAAAAGCACTATATAAATAGAAAACTTACCTACTTACTTACTAACAACAGCACCATCAACGGACAGGAGAGCACCTTTGGGGACAGGCTGCTGTCCCTGTCCTGATCCATAGACACAGTCTGGAAGTGGTTTGTTCCACATGGCATATGGCTATTTAACACATTTCTATACATTTCTGCTGTATTATTATTATTGTTGTTGTTGTTGTTGTTATTATTATTACGTGTCATTCATGGTGCTAAAAAATGAATTTCCTTCAGGATCAATAAAGTCTGAATCTATGTCTCTATCTATATTTATACATTCATAAGGCCATAATAAAATATTGAGTGTTTCTTATTGAGGATCTGAGCATTGATAAAGGTCTTGTGGCTCGGTCTAACCTGTTCTAAATGCACATATTGTAATTATTCACTGTAATGACCCCCTGTCTGTGGCCCTCAATGAGCCTGTTTCATGTTTCGATATGTGGCCCTGGATGAAGAAAGTTTGCATATCCCTGATTTAAACACACTGGATCTCAGCATTCAAAGTGGCAACCCAAATGAGAGACTCGTGTGAGGCTCATTCTGCATTCTTGAGAAGAACCAAAACACCAAATTATACGGCTCTATAGATAAGACCATGATTATAACTTGTCTGTCATGCCAAATGTTTTTGTAATTAAGAGTAAATGTGCATTACAATTGTCAACAGTAAAAGATTTGATTTGAACACGTTTACACAGATGACATTTAAAATCAAAATCTTACATACAGTTCCTTTATGGTCAAATGAAATGAAAAATTATTAATTTATTATTAAATTAATGGATTGTTTATACAAGAAATGTCTCAGATGTCCCTATTTTTGACCAATCTGATCCCTGCCAACAGTAAAGAGAGACATAAACTGTCATTTGTTTTGATAAAATACAGAAAAGCTGCTTAAAAATTACCAAAACACAAAGAAAATGTGATGACACTGACTCACATGTTACTCATGAATAAGTTATGAACGGGGTGGGTCCATAACTGTTTTCCTTGGTAAGGCACTCCTTTCATAATTTTATTATTACCAACCACTCCAAACTGAGGGTGTCCCAGTTTTTGATTTTGAAAATCTGGTCACCCGACATAACCTCTTACATTATTGATTTAGCAAAAGCATAACAAAGCCATGCATTTTAAACTACCACAAGAAAAAAGCTTTTAAAAAACCCCAGATACTTCAGCCGTGGAGTGTGTTTCCAAAATTCAGACACATCAGATAGGGATGGTTGGTATAAATAAAAGTGTCATTTTCAAGCATGTTTCCCTGGATTTTAGCTAAACAAATGACATTAAATTTGTCCTTTTACTGTTAGTGGGGAACAGATTGGTCAAAACTAGGGACACCTGGGACATTTCTTGTATAAAACTGTGACAAATTAATGGTTTTGGATAAATCTGCTGGGACAGGGGACACAGGGCTCAAAATTGGGACTGCAGGTAAATAAAAACTGGGACACCTTCAGTTTGGAGTGGTTAGTAATAATAAAATTGTGAAACGAGTGCGTAATTAAGGAAAATTGTTCTACACTCAGCCCATGCGAGTCAGCATAATCACATTTTCTGTGTGTTTTGGTCATTTTTAAACAATTTTTCTGTATTTTACCTAAAGAAATTAAAGTTCAAAACTGGGACTGTCCCAAGTAAAAAGGGGCGTATGGTCACCCTAATCATGACTTAAACATCTTATATTATTTATTTAAAACCCCTTTATGTTTCAGCCTATTTTCCCTAAATGCCTGACTTAAATGACTCTCAGTTCAAACTGAATACTTTTGAAGCACACATTTGTATATATATATATATATATATATATATATATATATATATATATATATATATATATATATGTATGTGTATGTATATATATATATATATATATATATATATATATATATAAGATTTTTCTCAAAATGAGAAACTCTAAGTCAAGTCATTTTTATTTTTATACCACTTTTAAAGGGATAATTCAGAGTAATTCAGTAATCCAAAAATATCAAACTATCAATATATCATATAGCATAATGTGATGATTCAGTATCATCACTGCTATACTGATATATCGTCAAGAGTATTTTTGGTTATATTTTATTAAATAATTTTGTTACAGCGCTAGTTTTGTTGCTTGTTTAGTGGAAGGAAACTTGTTTATGCAGCACATTTGACATATTCACCATTTTGAGGATTAAAATGGGTGTATTTCATATGAACTTTGCACAAGACGTGACTTAACAAAGACTTTTATTATCACAGTCATGATTTCAAATACATTTTTTATTGAAATGTATCAAATCGATCTGTATTATATTGTATCGAATCAAAAGTGCACTGAATCGAGACGTATCATATTGTGGCCTATGTATCTATATATGGTGGTCTATGTATATAAAGGAAATGTGGGGACATAGGGCTGAGGGAACATAGGCACGCTCCTAACGAAACCATGCATTTTAATGTACCACAAAAGAAAAGAAAAGAGCTCTGAATAAAGCCCAGATAGTTGATCCGTGGAGTGCGTGTAGCGTGTGTACCCGAGGATGGCGCCACAGAGCCGGCTCCGTGTCTCCTCCTCCTCCTCCTCCCTGCGCTCTGCCCGCGGTCCGCTCCCTCCGCTCCGTGTGGAGAGAAGAAAATAAACCCCTCCACCACCAACCACCACCGCCACCGCTCTGCTAACGGGGCTAGTTATGGAAGTGCAGCCCAAACACTGACTCCTCCGCGGGGACACCGAGCCGAGACTGCCCCCCGCATGCACCGACCACACCGGGGGGACCGTACGCGGGACCGTGTCGGGATTCCGGGAGCGTTTGTGCTTTTAAAGACGCACACGGGCTTCTTTTCTTTCGCTTCTTTTGGCTCGGGCTAGCTGAGCGTGCTAACCGTAGCCTAGCAGCGAGGAGCGGCGCTGGATGAACTTCGCATGGGTTGACCGCGGTGGTAAAAACGGTGCATCGCTTCTCGTTTGCCCCCGCTCGCATGGTCCCCTCACGCCGGGAGTCTTTCGTTACTCGATGGAGGCTTTCCCCGCGGATCTGGAAGCCTTTACGAACGCGCACATGCTGTTTTTTTCCACGCGATCACGTTATTGATTTGGGAAGCCCACTGGCGGAGGAGCTAACAGGATATTAGCCACTTTTCGCTTTGTGGTCGCAGGCCACGGGACGCTGGTCTAATGGCAGCTAATATTTATTGCAAAGTGTTCCAGAAATGCAGATGATTTCATGCAAATAAACATTGATTTTCCAGACGATCTTTTGGCTTGAAATGCAGCGAGCGGTTGCCAGGTTGGGAGAGTAGGAGCAGCGCAGGAAAGCAGCGGGGTCGCCTCATCTGTTCCGTGGGTTAGAAGAAGTGCACCTCCGTCCGATCGGATCCGAACCGCACAAAGAGGTGACATGTCTGCCGCTAAGGAGAACCCATGTCGGAAATTTCAGGCGAACTTCTTCAACAAGAGCAAGTGTCAGAACTGCTTCAAGCCCCGAGAGCTGCATCTGCTCACCGACCAGGATCTCAACCAGGTAAAACCCCACTAATATTATGTAAATGAGCAGTCAACAATAATGCATCGTTAAAATGTATGGTACATAAAGTGGATTTTAATTGGGAATGGGTTTAAATTTCTCTTAAAGCTCCCACATTGCTCTGTTTTATGATTTATGTTATAATGTTTCGTCATCACAAAGAGACCTGGAGTTGTGTTTTGTTTCATTCACACATGTTTAACACACAAACCCTGCACATTTAGAATGAGGGCTTCTCTCGGACAGAAAACACCCTGTTCCACCTTGTGATGTCATGTGGTAATACAAGAACTGCACCATTGTGTTTTTAAACTCCTTACACCTTCACTAGAATCATTTGGATGTTTTCAGTGCTGGAATTGCCAATCTGTACTGAACAAAAACGTAAAAGGTAGCTGTTAAGTTGAAAACTACCTCTTTCTGACATCACAAAGTGGAACAGAGCATTTTGAACTCTGGAGATGTTGACTGAGTAATCCTTTATTATTAGTCAAACACTTGAATGAAACAACACAACTCCAGCTATGTTTTTGATGAGGTAACTGCGTTCTAACATGACTAAAAGCTAATCTCGTAGTATTCGAGAGACTGGTCTTGGTCTTGAGGCCGGCCTCGAGACGTTTTTTTATTACGGTCTTAGTCTTGTCTCGGACTCAACCGTGTTTGGACTTGATCTTGTCTCTGTCTTGAAGGCGCTTGGACTTGGTCTTTAGGTCGTACACTCGATAGATTTATAAAAACATTGATATATATGTGCCGAAAATGACAAAGATGGTATTGATTTGGTCTTGATGGGCCATGGTCTCGGTCTTGTCTCGGTCTTGTCCTGGTCTCGGGACCCTGTGGTCTCAGACTGTTCTTGGTCTCAATTAGTGCAGCTTTGATTACAACACTACTTAAAGCTCACAAGAGTCAATTCTGCGTGATGTAGGACCTTTAAAGCTGCTCTGTGATGTAACGTTTCTGGTGGGGGGCACATCACCCGCTGGAACCCATAGTCTGCGATGTTATTATTGTGCCTCAAATGTTGCATGGCATTAAACGTATTTATAGTATTTATTTCATTACAATTCTTGTCCGTGTTAAAGCAAAACCTCGGAAAAAAAATCTTATTGTGAGTGGCTTCCCAATTGCCTCTCCACAGAGTTAACCTGTAACTTGGCCTGGAGGGATCATCTGCTTATCTTGATGGAGAAGTTAAAATTGTGGAGTTTTCTGGGCAAAGTAACAAGTTACACTGCACGCTTTAAATACTATTACATAAGAACAGGGGGTGCGTGTGATAAGTTGGCATGGTATGGTTTGTAGCGCTGTATATCATGTCAAGTGTGTAAAGATTAAATATTAACTATGGTGTAATGTATGCGCCCTCATAGAAAATGCAAATAGGTTGAAGGTACAGGTGTTTTACTCCACTAACTTTGACACTAGAGATTTCTGCATTTTATATTCCAGTAATGACAGCCTAGCATATAACGATGACTCAAACCTAGACTAAACTAATACAGGAATCTCATGCATTTCAGAACATGTTTGTAGAGGTGTAAGTACATGGTTAGCGTGGTTAGGTATTTACTTGTATCCTTTGTTTGCAGACAATACTGGGCTATCTAGAAATGCAGCCATTGCGATGTGGAATAGCTCTTGTTCAAGTTGCATTTCGGATTCATTTCACAGTGTTTTAGTTCATTCTTTTATTACTGATTTACTATTTTATAATGAGTTTGTGGAATTTTGGGATGTGTCACATGGGTGTGTAACCAGTAGGGGTGTGCAGAAATGTTTGTTATATCGTATCGTTTAATATGATGATGCAGTTGTGAGCTGCTGTATCGATACATCACCAGTAGTTTTTGGTTTATTTTACTAAATTATTTTGTTACAGCTACAGTTTTGTTGCGTATTTAGAGGACGGAAACTTGTTTATGCAACACATTTGACATTTTCACTGTTTTGATGATTAAAATGGGTGTGTTTTTCATATTCACTTTGGACAAGAAGTGGTTTAACAAAGACTTTTAGTGTCACAACCATGTTTTAGCCATAAGCATATCGAATTGATTGGAAATATATTGTATCAAATCGAAAGCGAACTGTATCGAGATATGTATTGTATCATGGCCTATGTATCGAGCTATGAATCGTATTTTGCAACTTCTTAATTAGACTCAGCCCTAGTAACCAGGGCAGTCCTAACTCAGATCTTTGGATTCTATAGACTTCAGTGTCAAGTTCATTGTCAATGTGATAAAGACAGAAGATAATTAATTGAAACTTTTAATGGAATTGTGTTGAAAGATCAAACCGCTTGGTACAGAGCCCATGAGCCAGTCGTGAGGCAGACAGTTATTTGAGAGGAGGTCAGACTTTGAAGGAGTACATGTGATTTGTTTTGTGTTTTAAGTGGCGCTGGAGTGAGAAACATCCATTTGGTGTTTAAAGCTTTAGTTTAGTCTTGTTTTAAAAAACATTTTGGATTTCTGGAGAATCAATGAACGAAGCACAAACTCACAAAAGCCTGTTCATCCGAGGTGTGAGAAATGTGATTTTATTTGTACAGTAAATCACAGGTGACCAATGAGCTCCGTCGTGCTAAAACAAACAAATCTGATTGGACGATCATGTTCGTTTGGGTTTGAGTCACGACAGAGGGAGTGGTGACTATATATCGATACTTAAAATATATTGAAATATCCATATATCGTATCGTTTAATGTGATCAATAGCGGTCAGTATCAATAGCGTGGTCTGCTGTATTGATATATCACCAAGAGTATTTGTTGGTGTGTTTTACTTAATTATTTAGTTACAGAGCTACAGTTGTTGTTTGTTTAGAGGAAGGAAACTTGTTTATGTGACACATTTGACATTTTCACTGTTTTGATGAGTAAAATGTTTGTGTTTCATATTCACTTTGCACAAGAAGTGGTTTAACAAAGACTTTTAGTATCACTATTCTGATTCATCAAGTTTCACTCTGTAGAAGCCCCGCAATGTTAGAATTCGTTCGCTCGATGGTAGGCGGGTACTTTTTTTCATTTAACCAATCGCTGCCATTTGGTCATGACGTATGTAATACACCACTAACAGAGCTAACCGTTATATTAAGCTTTTCTCAAATCCTGTAGGAAGAAGGACAATAATGTCTTTCCCCTTGATAAAATTCACCAAACATTCTCTTTGTTCCGGCTTTAAATCCTCGATCTGAAGAATCATTGCCAACACAGAATGTATGACTCTTTACTGATTGGCTGGTGCCCGGACTCGCACTTCTGGGTTTTTGTGAACTGTCTAGTGTATTCTGATTCCTGACCTAGTCACAGGAGAGAAATTAAATTGAGTGAAGGCACTAGATGATGCCAGCCTGGCTATAGTATCACAGCCAAGATTTAGACATGTTTTTTGAAATGTATTGAGTTGATTTGAAATGTATCGTATTGAACCAAAAGTGCACTGTATCGAGAGATGTATCGTATCGTGGCCTATGTATCGAGGTATGTATCGCATCAACAACTTCTTAATGATACTCAGCCCTAGTGATAAGCAGACTCTTATCCCTCTGTATAAAAAATACAGTCAGGATTTTCCAGGCAAGTTCCAGGCCAAAAGACAAAAACTCTTAAAGTAATTAGGATCTCGTGCAAGTGAGAAAGTGTCAAATCAGATTAAACTGTCCAGTCACTCCTAAAACCCTTGCTAACTCGCTCCATGCTTGCTTTTTTCCGTTTATGCCCATATAAATCCCAATAAAATAAGATGAGCACACATTTTGATCGCCTGAGACACTGTTGACTGATCACCGACTGAGGCCCACAGCCGTACAAAGCTGCTTGTTGTGGCGTGTGGACATATTGGTGGTGCTTCCTGTTCCATCCCCATCAGTTTAGTCTGTGTTGTGTCCTGTAATTGATCCCAGACTGAGCCCCAGAATGAACAGAGGATCCAAACAGCAGACGTCAGCAGTCCTCTCTCTCTCTCTCTCCCGCTCCCTTCAATCCCGTCTCTCTCTCACCTCTGTTCTGACTTTGTGCTGAGTTGATTGCGCGTTAACCCTTCCCTGCCAAGAGCCCTGAGTCAGGATTGGCTGCAGGCGGTTACATCACTTCCTCTAATCCCACGCTGACCTGGTACACACACTCTGCTGCTGCTGCCGTCTCCGTGACGACAAAAGACTGAGGAGTAGCTTATACGGCCAGGCTACTACACTGTTAACCTCGTGTCAACTTGAGTAGGATTACAACTGAGGAACATTACTATTAGTAGTTTTTATTTTCATATTTTGGGCGATAAATCTACTCTTAGTGATAGCAATATTATTTCTATTTATTTGTTTATTTGTTACTTGATAAGAAATGTGCAAATGTATTGGTTCACATTCAAGGATATCCTTTTAAAGCAAATTTTTGTAACTTTTTTGCCCAAAATAGCACTTTGTTTTTTATTGCACTAAAATAAATAAAATAAAATACACCGTCCTTACTGTGACTGGGTTTATGTCTCCAGAAACGTGACTAGGGATGTAACAATATCCAAATTCCTCGGTGCGATATTTTCACGATATTCACGTCATGGTACAATATTTAGGGCTGGGTATCATTAAGAAATTGCCGATATGATACACAGGCCATGACACGATACATATCTTGATACAATGCACTTTCAGTTCAATATGATATTTTTCAAATTGATTCGATACGGTTCAATAAAAAATAAAAGCTAAATCATGGCTCTAATACTAAAAGTCTTTGTTACATCACTTCTTGTGCAAAGTTCACATGAAACACATTTGACAAATGTCAAATGTGTCGCATAAACGAGTTTCCTTCCTCTGAACAAGCAACAAAACTGCAGCGCTGTAACAAAATAATTTCATAAAATATACCAAAAAATACTTTTGGCAATATATTGATACAGCAGCCCACGATATTGATATTGTATCATCACATTGAACGATACGATATATTGATATTTCAATATTTTTGCACACTCCTAAGATA